ATTTTATAAATTTGGCAACATCAGTGATATGCACTGAATTTAAAATATTGTATATGTTTGGGCTGATCTTCACAGGGAGTGAAAACATTGTCTTTCCAAGGTTGCATCACTAGCTTAAACTGTGTCACTTATTAACTTAAGACAGACACTGACAAAAAGAATTCAAGCCTCTACAGTTTCATTAAAAACACAAAGCTGGGAGTTGACTGTAAGGGGATGGTTTACTTCATACATATTAAATTATGATCATAACAACTCTAGCTGTAATGAATTGCTTGCACCTTTAATTTGTGTAACTCAATGAACGATTGCAAGCATAAATCATCTGTTTGTATCATGAAATTTGCAGAAAATATGTGGATGCCACTGGGTTTAATTAGCTAAGGTCACCATGCTGCACAAGCCTCCTCAAATCACTGACTTCCTGTCTAGTGATGACATCATTTCCTATTACAGACTACACTGATTTAAAGGGGCCAAGTAAAGTCATTTTAAAATGACTTTAGGAGAGAAGTCCAGACTCACCCCAGTCACCTACCCATACCCGGACCATCACAATTGGCTGCTTTCAATAGGAAGATTAAAGGCTGTACTCCCCTAAGGTAGAGCCCAGCCCCCTTTGAAGAAAACTAATTTCTAACCGCTTATATCTGCAATCTAGCTGAGGGTAGTAAAATAGAGTCACTGGTAAACTGACAGCTTCACATTCATGCTCAGCTCTCTTCACCACAACACATTGGTGTACCCAAAACCTGTCAGTCTATATTCTCCACTAGGTCCTCACTCATGAGCAAGACCTCTTATACTCCACCACCTGGGTAGTAACGCATCCCTGACCTGAAGTGGGCAGTTTATTTCAGTATAAAAATGTCAGTATGACTTACAAATTTGTTTTATGTATTGTTTCAGTGACTACTGCTGCGACATCCTGTGCGGAAGGAGAGTTTTTGCCCAAGTTCCTGTCTCCAACACCAGCCAACGGTGCTCAGCTCTACAACAGGGCCAATCAGACT